TCTGTTCAAGATTAGATGCTCCTGTTCAAGATTGAGCACTCTTGTTAAAGGTTGGGTACTCCTGTTCAAGATTGAGTACTCCTGTTCAAGACTAGCCACTCCTTCTCAAGACTAGCTACTCCTGTTCAAGACTAGCTACTCCTGATCAAGATTAGTTACTCCTGCTTAAGATTAGCTCCTCCTGTTCAAGATTGAATACTCCTGTTCAAGATTAGCTCCTCCTGTTCAAGATTGAGTACTCCTGTTCAAGATTAGATACTCCTGTTCAAGATTGAGTACTCCTGTTCAAGACTAGCTACTCCTGTTCAAGATTGAGTTCTCTTCTTCAAGACTAGCTACTCTTGTTCAAGACTAGCTACTCTTGTTCAAGATTGAGTACTCCTGTTCAAATTGGGGTACTCCTGTTCAAGATTAGATACTCCTGTTCAAGATTAAGTACTCCTGTTCATGACTAGCTACTCCTGTTCAAGATTGAGTTCTCTTCTTCAAGACTTGCTACTCTTGTTCAAGATTGAGTACTCCTGTTCAAGACTAGCTACACCTGTTCAAGATTGAGTACTCCTGTTCAAGATCAGATGCTCCTGTTCAAGTTAAGCTACTCCTGTTCAAGATTGAGTTCTCTTGTTCAAGACCAGCTACTCCTGTTCAAGATTGAGTACTCCTGTTCAAGATTAGCTACTCCTGTTCAAGATTGAGTACTCCTGTTCAAGATCAGATGCTCCTGTTCAAGATTAGCTACTCCTGTTCAAGATTGAGCACTCCTGTTCAAGATCAGCTACTCCTGTTCAAGTTAAGCTACTCCTGTTCAAGATTAGCTAATCCTGTTAAGGATTGAGTACTCCTGTTCAAGATCAGCTACTCTTGTTCAAGATTGAATACTCCTGTTCAAGATTAGCTACTCCTGTTCAAGATTAGCTACTCCTGTTCAAGATAAGATACTCCTGTACGAGATCATATACTACTTTTTAATTAAATCATATCTCCTTGAATTTGAAAAATTTTATCACAAGGATCAGATCTCAAAACATAATGACTCGATGAGTAAAAAAATTCTTTTTGTGCGGCACAGAACACTTCCTTTATAACTACTTCCATAAGGCACCTCCTACATTACATTTTTTTTACTTCTCATTTTTTCCCGTTAAGATTCTTTCATTCTCTCAGTTGTGTAATTTACATATCTTATGGAGATGATGATGGTGAAAAAAAACTCTAAATGGATCCTCCATCGTAATAATTTTCTTTCCTTCGTTCTTCGTTTATTTTTGCCTTTTTTTCTGTTCATATTTTTCCATTATTTTACTCCTTAGCATACATCTCCTTAAAAAAAATTATGTACATAAAAGCATATTTATACATGTGAATGTGCCATAAATTTATAATCAAAGTAAATGAACGAAGTCAGATGGGAGGATGGGGTTGGGTAGAATGAGGAGATAACCAGTCAACCAACCATGCAACCTTCGTCATAGTCTCTTTCTATCGAACATTGTTGTGTAAAAGGACACATTTGCTATTCCATTAAGATTTCCTTCTTCTTGTTTTGAATCTTGTCTTCTATTTTCGGATGGATAAGATTATAAGAGTGAGAAATCGGTCAAACTCTGACTGAATGTCCGAATATTTGCAAAAAAGATGGCTTTAGGATAATAACTAGTTGATATTAGGTGTAATTACCAAGATGTGGCACTAGATTGCTTCTAAGATGTAGTACTAGATTTTTATTTGATGCAGTACTAGATTCTTTTTAAAATGCAGTACTAGATTGTTTCTTTGATGCAACATTAGATTGTTTCTTTGGTGCAGTACTAGATTGTTTCTAGGATGCAATACTATATTTTCCTTTGGTGTAGTGCTAGATTATTTCTAAAATGCAGTACTAGATTCGTTCTTAAATGCAGTACTAGATTCTTTCTAAAATGCAGTACTAGATGTTTTCTTTGATGCAGTACTAGATTGTTTCAAAGATGTAGGACTAAATTGTTTCTGAGATGGAGGACTAGATTGTTTCTAAGATGTAAAGCTAGATTGTTTCTACTGTAATACTAGATTTTTCTTTGATGCAGTACTAGATTCTTATTAAAATTCAGTACTAGATTGTTTCAAAGATGCAGGTTTTTATTGTTTCTATGATGCAGTACTGGATTGTTCCTAAGATTAGGACTAGATTGATTCTAAGATTCAGTACTAGATTTTTTGAAAGATGCGAAAATAAATTATTTATACTAGACTGTAATTATAATGTAGCATTAGGTTATTATTAGGATTAAGGACCAGATTTAAAGATTATAAATTAATAAATTATCTTCATTCCAACTGATTCTACGTATGCATCTCTAACTTGTTCCCCTTTTTTATACTCCATTTAATGATGTTCAATATTCAAACTTTGAATTTTTTTCTTCGAGTCCTCCACCGTCCCATACCCGAAAAAAAATATTTTTATCCTTCATTGCCATAAATTTTCATGAAAATTTTCTTCTTGTTGTTTATAAAAAAAAGTTTATTACGTAAATTTTTTTCTTCTTTCCTTTTTTTCTCCTTTATGTAGCCATATATTCATTCATTAGATCCACATATATACACATATGCCATAGTATAGGAGGGAGATAAAAAATGGCAGCAGCAGCAACAGCAACAAAAAAAAGGTCTTTAGAAGAAGATAATATTCATAAAATCAGAGGAGATATGTGAGTGTACATGCAGATTGCGAGGAGATATGCTTGAATATGGAAACAAATGAAAGAAAAGAAAGAGAGAAAATTTTTATCTTCAAAATGTTTTCCAATGGGAAACATTAAATTTTCGATTTTACTTTTTTTTCATTTCTTCTTCAGAATTTATGAATTTAGATTTTTTTTAAAAAAAAGTACGAATGAGGATATTGGGATATGGATAGACTAAATTGGAATAGGTTGGGGGCTTATGTTCGATTTTTTCAGATAGATTTAAATTTCTACTGAGAAATGGGATTTCTTTGTCTAGATAAGAAGTTTAAAGATTTGGGCTTTGATTTGAAGATTGACTGGCTTTGTTGAATTTGTGATTAACTAATTTGGTTCAACTTAAGATATCAAACTTGATCTAATCAAGACAATCCACATTGATCTGAACAAAGACAACACAGCTTGATCTGACCAAGACAATCCACATTGATCTGAACAAAGATAACACAGCTTGATCTGACCAAGACAATCCACATTGATCTGAACAAAGACAACACAGCTTGATCTGACCAAGACAATCCACATTGATCTGAACAAAGATAACACAGCTTGATCTGACCAAGACAATCCACATTGATCTGAACAAAGACAACACAGCTTAATCTGACCAAGACAATCCACATTGATCTTAACAAAGACAATCCACATTGATTTGAAACAAGACAATTATTCATCCAATCATCAAAACCATTTTCTCCAATTCGATCTTAAACACAACATTTGAAGCCAAACCCACTAGCTGTACAATCAAGTACAATAGGTTTTTTTTTTTTCATTATTATTAATTTTACTTCTTCATATGAACAAAAAAAAAATCTCTTCACAATTTTCCCTTTTTTTAACGAAACATTTCCTTTTTAATATATAAAAAAAATCTCAAGACGTTCATCCTTTTTCATTAAATTTTCCAATTTTCTTTACAATTCTTTTAATTTTCTTCCGCTCATTTTGCCAAATTTTATTTTCATTATGAAAAGAAAAAGGAAAGAAAATTCTTCAATCTTCATCATCACATGTACGGGCATGTGTGTTTTGTGTATCTTTGTGCTGTGCTGTAGACGTTAAATAATAATGAAATGAGGAATTTTTTTAAGAAATGAGAATTTTTTCAACCCCTAAGGAAGGTGGATGAGATGATGAAAATTTACTGTGAAGAGGTTAGGTTCCCTTGTTGTGAATTTATTTGGTAAATTTGGATGCATAACTTAAAAGAATAGCAACATTACCTCAAAATTCAGCAACTCTCAAACTTCTCAATTGGCATCATAACCTCAAAGTTTGGCATCATAACCTCAAAGTTTGTCAACACAACCTCACAATTTGGCAGCATAACCTCAAAATTCACCAACTTAACCTCAAAGTTTGGCAACATAACCTCAAAGTTTGTCAACACAACCTCACAATTTGGCAGCATAACCTCAAAATTCACCAACTTAACCTCAAAGTTTGGCAACATAACCTTAAAGTTTGACAACACAACCTCACAATTTGGCAGCATAACCTTAAAAATTCTTACAAAATTTCCCCTCAAGGGTCTCCGTTCATCCACAACACATATTTTGCCATTTTAGTTTCTTTTTTAATGCCACCCACACATTTCCTTCTTTCTTCTTTCTTGGTTCTTAATTTATTCTCATGTTTATACACATTTTTTACTTACATGTCACCTCATCTCACCCCAAAAGCAGAGGGGGAAACACATTTTCATATATTGTAAGAGCATAAATGGATTTAAAGAAAAGAAAAGAAGTCCCTTGAATGAGTGTGTATATGAGCATATGACGATGACGATGATGATGATGATGATAAAAAGTAATGAAAGAAAAAGAGAGAAATGAATGAGTTTTTATATTTTTTGAGGCGTAGGGTTGGGGGTAAGGGTAGCTCTAGAAATTTCTGATTTTTGATTTTGTTCGATTAGTCAGACTGTTTTAAAAATTAGCCAAGTTTATTGAGGTTAGACCAACCACACCTTACTTATTTCGATTGCCGGACAGATCCATGGCCTCCCTTAGATGGCTCCTAAAGTTGGTTCTTTCGCTGCCTACTGTTTGCCAAGTCCATACCGAACTTGTATCAAATCAAATGCTAGTCGATCAGTTCCACGCTCTTGATGCCAATGAGTAAGGTTCGAATCACTGCCAAACTATGAAACATCAAACTTTGAGTCACTTAATGAAAAAAATTTTAAATTACACTATAAATAAAAGTCTAATTTAAGTCACTCATAAAGTATCAGTACAGTTAAATTGTTTTATAGAAATAACTTTAAAAATTCATTAAAACCGTAAAATTAATAAATAAGGTGAAAGCACTGAGGAATGGCGATTAAGGAAATATTTGTGTAAGTTTCATTATTTTACAATTATATAAAATTAAAAAATTAATTCATCTCGTCCATTATTGGAATAATTTTTAATATGTAAAATAATTCTTAGCTTTGTTGCCTGCTTTGCTATGCTGTGTGGATTTGGTGATTCTGTTGATATTCAATGCGATTATGGAACTTATTCTTGGACTGCTGTTGGTGATGTTTATCTTTGCTTCCTCCAAAACACTCTCAACATAAAATCAAGAGAATCAGCTGTGATTAATTCGGTGAATGGAAGTCATTCAAGTGGCAAGAGCAATGCTGATGTGACTTGTTTTTGGTCATGGGGTTCCTCTCGTGTCATCGAATATTTCCCGCGTAATTTGGACAATATTTTCACAAATCTCAAAATGATTGGGATCCGTCATGGTCGTCTGAAGAAAATTCAGCAAAGTGATTTGAGGCCTTTTACGAAGTTGGTGTATCTTAACTTGTATCAAAATGACATTGAATTTCTTGAGGACGGGTTGTTTGCTTATAATCCAGAATTGAAATTTGTTAGCTTAAGTTACAATAAAATAATTCACATTGGCTTTCAAGTTTTTGACAATTTAAATAAATTGACTTGGTTATGGCTTTGTGGAAACACATGCATCAACATGGATGCTGACAACAATCAAACAGCTGTGAAAGAAGTCATCAGTCAAGCAAAGTCAAAATGTTTAGACTATCCAGAAATTGACAAAGACCTCCAAAAGCTAGAAAACTCACTGCTTTATGTCAATTCCGAATCACTTTCAATTTTTGATCAAAATCTCCAAAATCTTCAAAGTCGATTCCAAAACTCAACAATCTCACAGTATTTACCTCTTAAGGATCGATTCCAGGCAATTAAAAACTGGAGACCCAAGAACATCTGGACAAAAAAGGATTATTTAAAGTTATTAATGATCGGATGCGGTGTATTCTGGTGCTTGGTTTATGTTGTGCTTATCGTAGCATTTTTAAGATGGTCCAAAGATGACGACAAGTAAGTCAATAAGTTCACTTTTGTTCTTTTTTTACAGAAAATTTACAACCAGTGTTGGTTCAAAAACATTTATGCGCACTAATGTGCTTTATAATCTATTCATTTTATAACTTATATGTATTGTAATTATTTAATCATTCAAAATGCTCAAATAAAGTTTAATCTGCTTATAAAAAATTTGTAATAGTTCATAAAAATGCTTCATGGGTGACTCAAAGGGGATAACAACATGATGGGAAACAAAAAGTTTTTATTAAAAAAATATTATTTATTTTGTCAGAATGAAAAGTTGTCAAAAATTAGAAACTGACAAATTTTTAAACCATTCACGAGAATTTCCAACCTAACATGTTTTCCCATCATGTTGTTTTCCCCTTGAACTTATCTCAATACTCAACTGTTCTTGGGGGCCGTTCATTTATTATTTAACGCTTTTAAGGAGGTTCTAGTAAAGGAAAAAAAATCCATTGTGACAAAAGAATAGGGAGACCAGAGATGCAAAAATAGAGGATTGTCCTCTGAAAAACCAAGCAAATGACCAGTCTACAAAAGGAGGATGCCAACTTTTTGTGTAACGCAATAAATGAACGACCCCTTGTACACAAACAAACAATGAGTATTAACCGCATTCAATGATAAGTTTCAGCAAACATAAGTAATTGTTCATAACAGTGGTCATTCTCCAAGGCAGTGTTTCTCACACTTTGTTCCGCTGAGCTTACTTATTCGAAAAATTCTAGTTGCTCCGCGATAAGATTGATGGAACAGCAGAAATTTTTTTTTTTACATGCAGGAAGTAAAGCTGATAAGTTTGAGAACCACTGGGCTACTCAAGGCTCCCATCTTTAGGATGTCCATCGGTTGGTGACAATTTTTGGTCAAAAAGCTGGACATGTCCCGATTTCAGATTTGAAAAAGTGAGACAGGCCAAATTTTCAAGCATTTTCCAAGATAAATAGGTTCAAAAAAGCGGGGGCATTAGGGATTTTAGGCTGGACTTTGTTCAAAAAAAGCGAGACTGTCCCGCTCAAAAGTGCACATTTGGCCAGCCTTCCCATCTTAATCACAGAAAAAATTTCTTTATTCCAAAATAAAGCAGAGAACTCAACCTGTTTACATAGAACATCTTAACCTCTTTTGCAGAGAAAAGAACCTGTTTTACAGAGAACAGAACCTCTTTCAAAGAGAACAGAACCTGTTTTACAGAGAACAGAACCTCTTTCAAAGAGAACAGAACCAGTTTTACAGAGAACAGAACCTCTTTTACAGAGAAAAGAACCTCTTTTACAGAGATCAGAACCTCTTTTACAGAGAATAGAACCTCATGCACAGAGAACAGAACCTCATTTACAGAGAACAGAACCTCTTTTACAGAGAACAGAACCTGTTTTACAGAGAACAGAACCTCTTTTACAGAGAACAGAACCTCTTTTACAGAGAACAGGTCCTGTTTTACAGAGAACAGAACCTCTTTTACAGAGAACAGAACCTCATTTACAGAGAACAGAACCTCATTTACAGAGAACAGAACCTGTTTTACAGAGAACAGAACCTCATTTACAGAGAACGGAACCTCTTTTACAGAGAACAGAACCTCATTTACAGAGAACAGAACCTCATTTACAGAGAATAGAACCTCTTTTATAGACAACAGAACTTCATTTACAGAGAACAGAACCTCATGCACAGAGAATAGATTCTCTGTTACAACGAACAGAACCTGTTTTACAGAGAACAAAACCTCATTTACAGAGAACAGAACCTCATTTACAGAGAACAGAACCTGTTTTACAGAGAACAGAACCTCTTTTACAGAGAACAGAACCTGTTTTACAGAGAACGGAACCTCTTTTACAGAGAACAGAACCTCATTTACAGAGAACAGAACCTCATTCACAGAGAATAGAACCTCTTTTATAGACAACAGAACCTCATTTACAGAGAACAGAACCTGTTTTACAGAGAACAGAACCTCTTTTACAGAGAACAGAACCTGTTTTACAGAGAACAGAACCTGTTTTACAGAGAACAGAACCTCCTTTACAGAGAACAGAACCTCATTTACAGAGAACAGAACCTCATGCACAGAGAATAGAACCTCTTTTACTGAGAACAGAACCTCATGCACAGAGAATAGATTCTCTGTTACAGCGAACAGAACCTGTTTTACAGAGAACAGAACCTCTTTTACAGAGAACATAACCTCTTTTACAGAGAAGTGAACCGCTTTTTTTGCACGGAACTTAACCTCTTCTACAAAGAACGAACCTGGCTATGGTGTCACCAGGAAGTGAGTCATTCTTTATGTCATACTAGATATTATTTTACATAAACTCATGCAAGATCATACATAGCTAAAGGAAAATCCCATACAACCAATACAGCGTCATAGTCTATCCAACAACTCCTGTCCATCACCACATCTTATTAACAATTTTCCTATTATTTTCTGTATCCTGTCATCATCTTAGTCCTCAACTGCATGAATCAAAATATAATTATATACAAAAACTCACACACATGCATGTCTTAAAAGAACTTGTTCCTTATTTCCATCAACAAATGTAAAATCATAAAAAAATGCAAAAAGAAAAGAAAACCGAAGTGAAGACGAAGAAAGGAAAATTTAAGAAAATTGAGAGGAAAATCAATACTTTTCGGATATGTTTTTATAAATATGGATAATGCATGTGTGGATAATGTAATGTATGGATGGCAATTATAGGCCCTCATTTCTCATTGTGTAGATGTGTGTGTGTGTGTGAGGATTTTCATATTTTTTTATATTAATAATAATTTTTTTACGACTTTTTCTTCTTGTGAGTGGGGTCGATGGATGATGCAGGATGAGGAAAATTTTCTATCCCAATTTGATATATGGCCACATTTACTTTTGTTTTCCTTCTTATTTATTTATTTTTTTTTATGAATTTTAGGGAAAAAAAGAAATTTTGTGCTCATCAATTTTTTATGGATCTTTATGAGATAATGTGAATGAGTGCGTGTATATCCATGCATGCATGTGTCGATGTCGATTATTCAGAGGAGTTTGTGAGGAATTAAATGAATTTTTCTTTGTTTTTGACAGCTTGTGGGATAAGGAGGTGGATAAGAGGTGGGTGTCGGGTGCATTGAGTAAGTTTTTGTTAATTCTATAACATTAAGCTTAGTTGTGTGTTGAAGAGGTTTAGTAAAACAGGTTCTGTTCTCTGTAAAAGAGAATCTGTTCTGTGTAAATGAGGTTTTCTTCTCTGTAAAAGAGGTTCTGTTCTCTGTAAAACAGGTTCTTTTCTCTGTAAAAGAGGTTCTCTTTTCTGTTAAAGAGGTTCTGTTCTCTGTAAAACAGGTTCTGTTCTCTGTAAAACAGGTTTTGTTGTCTGTAAAACAGGTTATGTTCTCTGTAAAACAGGTTTTGTTCTATGTAAAAAAAGGTTCTGTTTTCAGTAAAAGAGGTTGAGTTCTGTGCAAAAAAGGGGTCAAGTTATCTGTAAAATAGGTTGTATTCTCTGTAAAACAGGTTTATTCTCTGTAAAACAGGTTCTGTTCTCTGTAAAACAAGTTTTTTTCTCTGTAAAAGAGGTTCTGTTCTCAGCAAAAGAGATTGAGTTCTGTGCAAAAAAAGGGTCAATTTCTCTGTAAAACAGGTTCTGTTCTCTGTAAAAGAAGTTCTCTTCTCTGTAAAACAGGTTCTGTTCTCAGTAAAAGAGGCTGAGTTCTGTGCAAAAACAGGGGTCAAGTTCTCTGTAAAACAGGTTCTGTTCTCTGCAAGTGAGGTTCTATTTTCTGTAAAAGAGGTTGAGTTCTGTGCAAAACAGGTTGAGTTCTCTGTAAAATTGATTGAATTCTTTGCTATGAATTACAATTCAATTACCAATTTTTTCCAGCCCAAAATTAAAAACTTTTCTAATCAAAAATTCAAAGCCAATCAGTTAAACTTTCTCAAGAAATGGCCTTAAAATTAGTTTTCCGGAAGCAATTTAAAAGTTTTTAATTAAACCAAAATTTCTAAATTGAAATTGAAAAAGCTAATTCAGTTCTTTGTCTTTAATCAGTCATTATAGTTGGAAGCCATGAGAACATTTTTTGACTTTATAAAATTAATTTTTCTGCTGTTTGGATTTGATGTCCATGAGCGATTCTCAACAAATTCAAAAATTTCATCAATTTTAAGACTTTGGAGAGTCCTTAATCCAATAATTATGGGCATAGGCTCAGTTCAGCTATGGATTTTTGTGTTTCTACTTTCTAAAGACAACTCAAAGCTTGAAATCGCAATAACAGTGCTGGATGTGCCTTATTTTGTGCAAGCATCTTTTGGATACATCACATTAGTCATGACCAGGACGTCGTCAATCCAGTTGATCCAAAAAATTGACAAAATTTACTCAAAAATCACCAAAAATGAACAGAAAATCGAAGATGAAAAAATCATCAAAAATGCTCATTTTATTGGACTTAATATTTTTGGTATAATAACTGCCGTGATTGTCTTGAACTGCTTGGTCAACATAGTCAAAATATTTGTGGCTTATCAAACTGACTCAGATCCTGGAGAACTTTTCTTTCCAATGAGTTTCTGGTTTTCTGAGTATTTTCGCAGATCTTTGCTGTTTCTAACTGTCTACGACACATTCGTGCTGATGCTTCTTAATTTTTCAAATTTGGTAGCTCCTGAGCTGATTTTCATCACTTCGGCTTACTTAGCTGCGTCATTTGACAGGCTTGGAGATAAAGTTAAGGATGTGATTGATGGAATTGAGAATCAGACATTTTAAGAGACTAAAAAGAAACTTGCTGAGTGTGTGGACATCCATAGTGAGTTGATCGAGTTGGCTGATGAGTCGAACAGGCTTTATGGACTGTTTAATTTGATTTTGCTGTTTGTGGTCACAATTTCGATTTGCTTGCTGGGAATCATGACAATGGTTGGTATTGTGTTCAAAATCAAGGCAGTTCCATCAAGTCTATAAAACCTGATTGACCTTAAATGTTGATAATTTTCAGATCAGTGAATTTATGGTCGCAGTTCAGCTGACTTTTGGGCTGTTTTTCAACTTCCTTGAGATCTCTTTGTTCTGTATGATTGGGGATCAACTTGAGGTCAAGGTAAGTTTTTATGCTTGAAGGTTTAATTTCTCTAAAATTGCGTCATTTCCAACAGAGCACAAAGATCGCCAGGATCATCCAAAGTGGCAATTTCTATAAAATTGATCCTCTGCTAAAGAAAAGCCTGATTTTAATGATTCAAATCTCAAATCGTCCAAAAAGAATCTCAGCTTTTGGATTCTTTGAATTCAACTGGAAAAGCTGCTCTTTTGTAAGTTGACATTCTTGATCTTTAAGTTATATTCACGCTAAGATTGATCAATTTACTTACAGTTTGCTCAGAGGACTTACTCATATTTGACTGTTCTAAGACGTTTATTGAAACTGTAAGCTCAATCTGTAAAGCACGAGAGGCTAGCATTGGAATTCATTTTTGTGCCATGCCTCGAAAAAGGTTGAGCAGCACTGCATTAATTTGACTGTTCTAAGACGTTTATTGAAACTGTAAGCTCAATCTGTAAAGCACGAGAAGCTAGCATTGGAATTCATTTTTGTGCCATGCCTCGAAAAAGGTTGAGCAGCACTGCATCAATTTAAAAAAATTGTTAATGTCTTTATTAGAAAATTATTAAAACTTTTAAATGACACAATTTGAAAAAAAAATCAATAAAAATTTTGAAATAAAAAAACTTTGAATTCATGAGAAGGCCAAGAAATGCCTTTATTTAAAAGTTATTCGTAAATGACGTCAATCCAAAAAAGAGATTTTTTCCTCATCTGTCACAGAATTTAGATAAAATATATTCTTTTGATTGAAGTTTTCACAACCGGTCCCACCTCCCCCCCCCCCCCCCTTTCCCCTCTAAATACCATAGGGGCCATTCATTAATTACGTAACAAAAAAAAACAACTTTTTGACCACTTCCCTTCTTGTCACAAAATCAAAGACCACCTTCGACCGAAAAGTGTTACGTAACAAGGACACAGCCCCAATTTACTTATGTAAATTAGAAAATTGTTAAAAAGTCTCAAAAGTGACGCAAATGAAAAATGTTCAGTCAAAACAGTCATTGCCTTCCTCAGTTCTTTGCCGTAATTTGCCTGATAAAGCCAAATTTTTAAGCAGCCATGAAAACATTTTTTGACTTCATAAAACTCAATTTTCTGCTTTTTGGATTCGATGTCGATGGGCAATATTCATCAAGTCCAAAGACTTGTATGCTGCTTAAAATTGTCAAATTTATAATTCCTATTTTAATCATCGTCAGCTCAGTTCAGGTTGTTATCTACTTCGCATCAATCACAGAAGACAACACGACCCTTCAAATCGCCACAAGCATCCTGGATGTACTTTTTGTACCACAAGTTGCTGTTGGATATTTGACATTGATATCCACAAGGACATCTTCAGTCAAATTAATTCTTAAAATTGAGGAAATTTACACAAAAATTGTTGAAAACGATCAAAAAATCGAAGATGAAGAAATTGTCAAAATTGCTTTTAATTCTGGCTTTAAATTCTTCATCATGATGATTGGCGTCATTGGATTAAATGCTTTGACTATTTTGGTAACAATCATCATCTCAGCTTTAACAAGTTC